ATACTTCTTCATGAATGAATCGACATTTGTCGAACAATTATTTAATTTCATTAATCGTTTAAAGCTCAGGACGACACCATTAGATACTGTTGCTTTTCACTGTGTATTATTCGAATAAAATTCTGCCCAACTCTGGTCTTAGGTGGGCATCACGAAGATCTAATTTAAATGTAATTAACACGAAGTTTTAGTATCGACTCGATAGTTTGCACTAATTTATAGGCGGTACACATGATTAAAAGGATCTGACACTGTTATCACACCTACACGGACGAAAATGACGCTTCTTTGGAGGGACTAAAAGTACACCAGCAGGCAAAAGTGTTCGTTTTGGTTACGCAATACGGTAACGAAGTGAAGTTGGGCGGGTGGGGGAGGTGTATGGTTACAGTTGTGGCAATTAAAATCCAATTGGCAACGGCGGATCTCGCGCGCAAACGATCCAAATGGATACGTACACTGACGAGCAAACTCGGCTTCCGCTAGGGGAAACAGAATTACTGAAATGTATGCCAAATTAATATTCGATTTAACATATATTTCAATACCTACTTGAAATAAATTTTTCAAGTGGTAGGGGTTCTCTTTCACCCCTTTTCCCCCAGCGGAAGCTGTGTGGGTACGTTCCATACGTATTTATACGGCTGCACAACGGAATTCCCCGGGACCGTCCGATCAATCTGTGTTTTCCTCGCTGAAACTGGACGAGGATGAATTAATTAATCGTCGTGCTGCAACGAAATTATAATATGTGTATTATCTGATCGTTCAGGGACGACACGTTTGTCGGACGAACGCTCGATCAGCGGATGCAAATGCACGATTGAACGTATTCAGATGACAGGCGACGCGGATAGAATTTGTATAAATGGGACCATATTCGATATGAACGAGGGAGAAGAGTTTTGTCTGGATCGAAAAGAATAATTGTAGTATGTGGATGGAAGACAGAAAGGTGTAAACGTACGAAGGAAGGTCGTTACGTAAATTGCAGAGTATCGGCGAATGCAAATGAAACGACTTTTTCGACCGTTAATGGTCCACCTCCTTTTTCCTCCTACTCGCAAGGTAACCGATTCGTTAGCCTTCAACCGGTCGCATTTATCTTCACGAGCGTTCGTCGCCTTAAATGGTGATTCCGCCAATATGTCCGTCCGAAATCTTCAAGCGAGCATATTGACACGACCAACAAAAGACACATCCTCTTTAAACTCGCTAATACAAACTGTTCACTGTAACTCACGTGCTCAGAAAACGTATGTACACTACATACTAAAAAAAAAAAAAGAAAAATATTAATTTACAAATATCTGATAAAAGTAACGTGTTAATACTGATTGGAAATTATTTGTATATGTACCGATTCCGTAACTTTTATTATACCATAACAGAATAATGAGATACTGTTCCATCAGTCATGTATGTTGTCCTTGTCCCCATACTTTTGGTCGGTAGAGTGTCTGTACCCTCACGAACAAACTCGGTTTTCCTTAGGGGAAAAAGTGGAGTAGGGGAAGGGCATCCTATCACTTGGTAAATTTATTTCAAGTACTCGAATAAATGTTAAATCGAATATTAATTTGGTATAAATTTCAATCATTTTTAATACCAATATTTCTATCGATACTTTTCAATTGAAATATCGATATTTTACAATACAAATATCGATATTTTATATCGTCCAGGAAATTCTAAAGCCCGACGGATAAGAGTTATATTAATATAAACTAGCTAAGTTAAGTTGGTGTCCAGTGATAGAGCTTGGAATTCCGAAACAAATAATACTTGTTTCATTCGCATACGGCCATTAGTTTATGAAATATTTAATGTTCAGTGCCAAGGATCCTCCAAACACTTATCCAGAATTTACTGTACAACCTTTCGATCGAACCGATTCACGGAGAACTTTAATTCGCTAAATAGCGACTAAACCAAGTCTCGACGTCGATGTCCGTGTCGCGAGGTGTTCAAGTGAAATTATATCGAGATTCGCGTTTTCCACCCACACGTCTCGAATTGCTACACGAATTCACTCTCGACCCACACAATCGTCCCGTTTCGGTTCGGACTTCGAGCTGCTTAGATATCTGTGAACGCGTGACCATTACGCAAAAAAAAAAACAATAAAGAAATAAAAGGGATTATTGTCGTGTTTGATGACCTTATAGAATCACGACGATGAAAGCGTGTTTTTGCACACACAAAGGAACAAAAATGTCGATTGCGGACGCGAATTTCGCGATGACGCAGATCGGTGTGTATGTAGCGAGCGAGCTGCGAACACGATATCAGTTCGATCCGTGATGCGTTACGAAATGCCTGCACGGTGACGGGAGTTCGCATATGTACGTTGTTAACGATTGTTCCACGAGGCGTGTCTGTGTTTCGTAATTTTTCACTTCGAACATGTGTGGTGGTACCTCTACCGTCGACGAATTCTTTCGTTCGGAAACAACACGTGCAGCTCTTCGACCATGCACGGAATCTCACTCAGTCGGTTCGATAATTGAATCGGTCAGTATATTAGGTCAGTGTCCCTGTTTCTAATCATGTAAGAGTTCTGCTACCGCAGAAATTGATTTTTATTATTTATTTAGGCAGAAAACCTTATTAGGTAGAAGAAAATTTAAACCTGCTTTTATAATTAAATAAAAGTGTTTTTGATAACAATTTAACTTAATAATAGTTAATTTAGTATGAAGTATAAAATGACACTATTTCTGCTCAGCGAAAATCGGAGTGCCAAAACCAAACTTTTAGCGGACAATATTAAAGATTCCGTCAGTTTTTTTTTTTTTTTTTTAGTAAAAACGCAGTTTGCAAGTGTAACTCACAATCGCAACAAAATAGCTGAAATTATGTTTCTTTACGACGGACGCAGTTATTAAATTTATTTCTGGTAAAATGCTGCCATCTATTGAACAGCAGGCTTTAGCATTTTTTACCGAAATACTAAACTAATTTAAATGACTTTTTGTATAATATATTTTTCATTTAACTTTTTGCATTAAACAGAAAATATACGTACCGAGCAGACATCGGGACGTGATTAGAAATAGGGACAATGATCTTAACCTTTCGAAGATTAAATTAATCAGTATTTCGTGGTAGAATTTCCTCGAATCGTTCGAAACATTGAAAGTGTGTCTCTGTTATCGAGGGAAATTCAGTCGACGGGTGGGAAAACTGGCGAACGCGCCTGCCTCGAGCATCAACGGGCTTATCAAGACCCTGAAAGTTTCTCAATCGTCGTCAGACGACGACTACAGGCTTAATGGTTGCTGTTTACAATGCGATTTGTTTCGTCCTGGAGGCTTCGTCTCCCGAGACTAATTGGTAGGAGGCCCTTCCTCTACGACACTTTTTTCCCTAGTGGAAGCTGAGTTTGCTCGTGGGTGCACATAAAAATAAAAATAAACGACACAATAATATTACGAATTTATTAATGTTGGCGGAGAGTGATTGAACAAGTTAACAGAGTTACAAAAATCGTTGGCCAATCTCAAAGCATGCTGTGATAATTAGTGCTTCGAGATGGTACATAAAAATTTAGTAATACCACAATAATTCACGCAGCCAAGGAGAACCCGATTCACGAAAAGAATGTCCAGCAATTTTTGTCTGTTTACCAACGTTTTTAAATTAACCTGAGACAAGATGTCATTGTACATAGATGTAGCAAGTCATAAAGAGTAAACGCAAAAATTGATGCTGGACATTCCCTAAGAAATTGTGACACTTGTGATAGGGTGACCAAATTATAGAACAATCCTCTAAAAGGGGTTTGACTAGCAACACAGCAGAATCAACGTATTGAAATCTTTAATAAATATTTAAATATTTGAAACGTAGGATTTTTGAAATTTTACTCAGGTTACCGTAGAATTTCTCGACTGTTTCACATTATTGTCGTTTGTACACAGGGTTCACACTCGAGTTTATTAACAATTCACAGGTAAAAGTTCGGTCGAATGTGGAGGCACTCACCTGAATGATCGATTTGCGCGTTATCAGTTACGCAATCGTGTTATCTGTATTATTCCAGTTCGCGTTTGGTTCACGCCTTTCTTGGCTATCGGCGTGATACAGATAGGAAACTCTGTTATTCCTGGCACGGTGTAAACAAACAAATAAACGAATTGTCGTTTAAAAGTCTATAGAAAGCTTTTTGTATGTTCGTTCATTAAGATAGTACTGTGTATATACGATTCTTTTTTTTTAGTAGAATTTCAGATAACTCTTCGATCGTTAACGGTAAATTTTTGTTAAGGATCGATAGACACTGGGGTCAGGACATTCGATTATGTAACATAATTATACTTTTCGAACTCGGTATTGTTTCGTTTCATTGCAATATTAAACGACAGCTGCCCCGACAACCTCTGTTTCTTGCGATTCGAGCTGGCGGCATCGATTGTCCTGCGCTTACTCCTCCTTATTATTTTCTTCTATCGAAGCATCGAAAAAGTTACTCAATGGTAGTTATTTTATTATTTAAATCTATTCTCATACATTTGATTTTTCGTACTCAAGGTCAAATGAAGGTTACACTATTACAGGTCATTGAATTGGTTTTGATCTCAACGATTACGCCACGCTGATAAAAATATCTAGCCCCGTTTAAAGCAACATCGATGACCTTGAAATTTCGGAAAAATATGACCTTCAGAACAAATTTTTAGCTTCTAATATAGTATTTGCTCCTTTTAACAGCATAAACCTCCCCCTCACATTTTTTTTTGTATTTTAAAAAACAACATCTGAATTAATGTCTTGTAATTAAAGAACGATAAAGGGCCAACCTTTGTTATTTATATCGCGAACGTCAGCTGAAAAATTGCCGTTACTCTCGAAATGAATTTTCATCAAACGAACCACCGCGAAAATTGTTCCCATGAAGTCGTCTGGGAATTGTAATTTAAATATTACGTGCATCTAAAATTTCATCGTTGCTCAGGAGTGTATACGATAAAGGGGAAATTATTGTTTTTAATTTCCAGCGAGATGGACGTTGCCCATGTCGGACGTGTTGGCCGTGCGTTACGGGGACGATTGGATACCAGGGGCGAGCACGAAGGAGAAGCAACCCCCGACGTCCCCGACCTCGCCCACGGTATGTCCGACGAATTTCATTTTGCACTACGCCGTACGCGTGGAGAAAAACAAATGGAGCCATCACAGCGTCACTATGAGCCACACCGATCCGCGACAGGTGGCTTCTTGGGTGAAAACCATACGCAACTACCTCATGGGTGAGTCAGTTCGAAATACACTAATGTCTCGATGAGTGCGACGTACCCTTCGAGGCACTCATAGCTAGGTGGAAAGGTTTTCAGCACCTAATGAGAAAAGAATGGGTTGAATTGTTGAAGATGAGGAAATTATGGTTCGAGTCCCATGACTTTCTTTTCCTTAATTAGTCTCTGTCACTTTCGCTAATTATAACGAAGATTTTATGAATACTTCGGACAATTGTTGGACTCAATTCTGTTAACACTTTCGCTCATACTGTTGCCATATGGCTACGTATTCTAAGTTACGAAACTAAATTTATGTATTTTCTTCATATCTGTGAGTATATTATAGTTTCTTCTATTTTTGTATAGATGGCATGACAAAAATCATGAGAGTTTGAAATTCTAGTCCGCTTCGAAACTTTTACAAAACTTTTACTTAACTTTCTAAACTTTATTTTCTTATGATTTTTAAGGGGTTAATTGTTTCTTGTCATCTTTGCTATTCGATGCCGTCAAAACCTGCGAGTGTACTTTCCTTACACTCAGAAGACCGTAGTATCCAGACAAACAAATACTGTAGAGAGTATTCTGTCTAGAATACTGCTGTCCAATTCCCACGGGTCTCTCCAATTTGCACTGAAAGGAAGATCGAATCAATGAAGAAGGTGTGACGGGGTCTAGTTCAGGGAGGCTAAAAATACCACGTGTAAAAATACAATAAAATAAGGGAAAATATAGGCGAAAGTCGATTCACAAGCCGGTGTACACGCTATTATTTTCTTTCCATTTGCGACGTAAGGATAGCCGACTGGTTGAATAATTGACCGTGTATCGATCATTAAAGTATCTTTCTCGTTACGAAGATAATCGCGTCTACCTCGTGAATAATCGAACTGATCGCGATTGTTTGTTGTTTTCACCAGGAAAAAAAAAGAAATAGTGAAAACTAGAGAGTAGTTTAGCCATCGTTGCGTTTCGTCATAGCCACGGTTTATCGACCAGCCTGTGTTTCGTGCGAACTAGGATAGAAAGGATTAATCATAGCGCACGGGTGGAACTGGGTTACGGATCAAGGCTGTGCGACTAACATATGGTTTTTAATGTCCCGTAAAAATAAAAGGGAGAAAGAACGACGAAACAACAGAATTACGACGTTCAGATGAAGCAACGTGGAGGGGAACGAGATCGAATCGCGTGAAGTCTTAACCCTTTTGTTCCCACTGCTGCAGAGATGGGCAAACTAATTATCTAGTAAAAATATTTCGTCATTTTTAATCGTTTAAACGTGGAAATTTCAATTTTGTACCATGAATTTTGGCTCACCCTGTATATAGATGGCATGGCACAAATTTGATGAATGTGCATTTAATAGTTTATCGGTGAAATAAGACACTATTCTTCTTTTGTTCAAGAGGATTGATCAAAGGTACGAAACATTGTGTTTTATTGTATGTAATAACAATATAATGGGAATTATTACATATAATTGTGATAAAAGTAAAACTGCTGTCGAACGAAAGAAAAATGGCATTAGTCAATGTAAAAATGTTAAAATGTTTATGTGAATCATATATATGTCGTGTAATATACCGAAAATATAAGAAAATATTTCTTTGGTAATTTTCAAATAATCTGGGATTGAAAAGGTTAAACGGTGTGGATAGTTTTTTTTAAGTGAAAAACTCTACAGATACATATCATCCACTGGGAATAATGTATGCATTTATTCAGCATGCGAACAGGTGAAACAGAATGCGAAAATAGGATGCCTTATCGAAGATTATTTTTATTCTACCTTTGACATTATTACAATCGTGTTTCGGTCGTCGAAACAGCTTCTTCCACGAGGAGTCTGTGGAAATTCTAAGGACCAATCGTGGCCACGATTAATCGAATGATTTCTGTTTTTTTTTTTTTTTTTTTTTTTTTTGTCGTGACACCTGCGAAAAACGCTTTATAATCACGGTGTTATCGCCACGACAGAAACAGCCATTTTCCATCGGTCTCGTGTTAAGTCACCGACGAACTTTTGCATTTCAAGTCGTTTGTTTATCACCGTACTGTGACGTGGGTCGTGCCGTGTAATAGAAAATGACTCTTGTATTTTTTTTGTTCTTTCTTATACTGTTCGTGCCGTAGGTAATTTTTCCGTTCGAGGCTGCCTTCATTTATCCTTGCCGACTTTGCACTCGGGGCGAGCAGAGCGGGGGGCTTTTTACGTCATCCTCATTCAGCTGAGAGAAGAAAAGGTGCTCGAAAGAGCGCCGTGTGCACACGTGCAGTTCCTGTTGCCCAAATAAGGAGCTATTCTTGGGTCTAGCACTTTCGAGGATAGTGTATTTTTACACGGGCCTTTTGGTGACAGACCTGAGAGACACCGCGAGAAGAATGAAGCTGGATTGGGGTTGTTAGGGAGATATTTGAATAATCAGATCGACTCACAATGGTACAGAACGACTATTTAGGAGTTCAGAAGCTTAATTTGGATGTGAAAAGGGGAATTTCCAAACTAAACTTGATAAGCATGTATTTAATGTTCATATTTATTAATACAAGTATAAAATTTATAAGTAATGTTTTTTAATAATCATCTTTTTTAAGAGAACTTGTGATTGGTAACTTCGTAAAAAAAGTTTTTATTTTGTTTATAAAAAACTTATTATTATTAACAAATATCACTTATTAAGTTTATATGTTTTTAATAAATATGAACATTACATATATGCTCACCAAGTTTGGTTCCGAAATTCCCATTTTTACACCCAAATTAAGCTTCTGAACTACATCGTATACTTTTGGCAGAACTTGGTATTATGTCAAATAAGATTGCAGACCTGATGTTTGTTTATTGGGTGGTTAACATAAATGTAATTAAAAGACCTGATTAATCCTTTGGTAAGAGCTAATTCAGCCTTACAGAGATCCCCCAGGTGGTAACGTTTTTAATGAGGTTCAGCATAGAGCTTGGAGTTCTGAAGCCAATAATGTTTGTTTCAGCTACATGTGTCCATTAGTTTATGAGATATATAATATTGAAATTATAGGCTATGCATAGGGTGTTTCGAAAGCGATAGAGTTATATTTCCAAATAAAATAATAAAACATTAGGAAAACATGTGTTTGTAAATGTTATTTTTGTTTGATGTCATTCAGTCTTTCAGTGGCCATCTTGTATAATACCTGTAATTTTTTTTCGCGTACAATTACTCGATTGCTAAAATAGTTCCGGACAAACCGGTTTCCTCGATCGGTTCTTTACGATTCACGAGCCGGCCGTGAGGAGCCCAAGGTCACGGTCGAACACTCGAAACTTTCCGCCGGTTTTTGCTGTTGGTACCCTGGCACAAAGGCCCAACCTTGGACTACTACACCTGTGTGTGTTTGTTTAAGGATCGCCGAAGGTGTACCAAAAGATGCTACAGTTTTAAAAAAGAATACACTACAATTTTCAATCGTGAAACTTCATATATCACAATATCTGTCGTTTTTTTGTGGAACTCGTAATTTTCTTCGTTTTACAACACTCCACACGTTAAGTTTTCATTGATCGTCGTTCCAGCAGAATTGGGTGATCGTACCAGAATTGCTTGGTATCTCGTGGTGAAGATCGAACTTAACCCATTCATTCCCAAATTATTGAAAAATTACCAAAGGATATATTTTGCTGTATTTTTCCTGTATATCACAGGACATGTAAATTATTCACAAGAACATTTTAACATTTTGAAACCCCGTCTGAAGCCATTTCTCATTCGTCACTATTTCCCGTTTTTTTACATTTATCACAGTTATAGAAAATGCTTCGTATTATAATGTCATTATATGGAATAACACCGAATGTTTCTTTGATCAATAAACTCTCGAGAAATATTTGAAAGAGATTATAGTTTTCTATATTTCTAATGTATTTGTAACGATGCTCGACACTTGAGTTCCATCGAACGAACCGATAATGTTTTATTTTACCGATAAGCTTTTAAATGTACATTAAAATTTACGCCATGCCATCCATATCAGACACTATTCCATACTCGCAGATATGAAGAAAATACAGGATACTAATTAAAATACGTAGCCCATACGGTACCAGTGGGAACGAAACGGTTAAGAATCTTTCGAGAACGCAATCTTCTCTAGTGTTCGGTGTGCTCTAGATGCATTCCAGGCGCGACAGGCTGGCTTAATATTCTTGTATCTGCGTGCGACAGGTCTCCTTGTCGAGTGTAAAAATAGGCTGTTGTGTGCAGATCGAGACGCGAATTTACCGTATAGTTGGTAGGGACACTTTCACCGCTGGGTCAGTGGCTTCGTGTCACGCGGTACCAATAGAAAGGTGCACGATTCGTTCACCGATGGGGCGAGGGGGAACAGAGTTTGCCGATTACCGTGCAAACCAAACGGTGGGACCATTCGGGGACCATTGCACTTTGAAATCCTTGGAAATTCAAATATAAGGAATCTGGTCCAGGTTGTTGGACAATTTATAAGTGTCCTATAAGTTACATAATAGATCTAGATGCTCTTATTTTTGGTCCAAACGATTCAGTTGTTTCCATTTCGAGAAAAAAAAAACTGTTGAACATGAAAACCGTGATGTGAGGATACGAGTCTTCCAGATCAGCCAATAATTTGCCCTTCCTAAAACCCTCTATATTGTATTGTCAACCAATAGGATAGATTCATTAAGAACCGCTAAGTTTAAAACATAAAGTAGCGCGCGTGTTAACCAAGCACGTTCCGTTCATATACAGGGTGTCCCAAGATAAGTGCAATTCCTTGAAAGGGGTGATTCCTGAGGCGATTTGAAATAACTTTTTCCTCAGCAAAAATGTTATCCCAGGCTTTGTTAACATTTTTACTAAGGAAAACCTTGTTCCAAATCACCCCAGGAATCAGCCCTTTCAAGGAATTACACCTATTTTGGGACACCTTGTAGAAAAGTTGTGTTCATACCACGTGCTTGCAAACTTTTTTCTAGACGGACATATTTTAATATGGCGAAAAGTTGGAACAGCACAATGAAAACAATGGTTGTTTGTCGTCGTTGAGTGTAACACGATCTCCTTCTAAACTGGCTTCTTGGGAGGCCATCAGTGGCTGCAGTATTGATCCTCTCGGTTCACTCTCTCTCTCGTTCGCGTCTACGGCTTTCTTCGAAACCGCAAATTCCATTCCACCGCCTGTAGATCGATAGGGGACTATAACGCGCGTGTCGTGTTTCTATGTAAAAATGGAATCCGAGAACAATCTGTGATCGCCGATGCTTTCCAGGGCTGACGCACCGTCCCCGGAAGATCCTGATATTCGTGAATCCATTCGGCGGTAAGAAAAAAGGATTGAAGATCTGGGAGAAGGACGTGCAACCGTTGATGACCATCGCGGGCATCGAGACCAAGATGTTGGTCACTGAGAGGGTTGGCCACGCCCGTGACACGCTTCTAACCGCGGATTTGAGCGACTTCCATGTAAGAATTATTTCCTTTACTCGCGTAGACGAGTTGTCGATCACACTTGGACGACTAATAATAGTAAATTAAACACTTACAAAAACCCCCGACACGAAGGAATCTGGAATCTTAATTTTCAGATACGTTACAGTCATCGAAACGTTCTAGAGCAAAAAACTATCGAATTTTACAAAACACAGCTATTAACGTTTCCGGAAATGTACACTTTAAAAAAGAAAAAAAATACTGTTTAAAACTCGAATCACTCGTTGAAGGGTTATCGGAGGTATAGGACAGACACACCCTCCTTTTCACGTCGGGGGTTAAAAACTATATTTAGTATTCTGCCTACCTTTTCGTTATTATTCATCATTGTCATTGGGTTATGGTTATATATATTTTCCAATGTGATTCGATACCTAGTAACGAGGTGTGTGTGTGTGTGTGTGGATCGTCGGTCTACGATCGAATTCCAAAACCGGAGAGGATTTGATCGTTGTATACCTACCCTGAGAAATCGATTTTCTTCGAGAAAGAAATACCGATGTGTACGTAGGCGGTGGTGTGCATCGGCGGGGACGGCACCCTGGCCGAAGTGATCAACGGTTTGGTGCTGAGGGCCTCCAGGGACAGCCAGATCGATCCGAACGATTCCGATGTTAGGCTACCGACACCTCCGTTACCGATCGGCGTGGTACCAAGCGGCAGCACCGACACGATAGCGTACAGCCTCCACGGGACGACCGACGTGCAAACCGCCGCGATACATATCATTTTTGGCGACAGCACCGGCCTCGATATATCGTCCGTGCACAACGACCGATCCCTGCTCAGGCTGTACGCCAGCGTTCTTAGTTACGGTTACCTCGGGGACGTGGTCAGGGACAGCGAGAAATTTCGATGGATGGGACCGCAGAGATACGACTATTCCGGTGAGTTGATCGAGCGGGGACACGTGACGCGGACAGACTTCCCCCAATTTGTGCTTACCTCGTCGTACCTACGATCCTTTGCAATATTTTTTTCAATGTTCCGTCTGTGTTTAACGATGCTTGCTGAAGGCCTTCGTGGGTTTCCAATATCCTCTAACGATCTTCCGTGTTTTTTAATATACCACAATGTTCCCCAATCGAAACCAAAGTTTGAGAACATTTCCTTTAGGGGTTACTAATTGATCTGCAATGTCCTTAGATCGTGTGTCAGTTGTTTTCAATCGTTCTTCACCATTCGCCAAATGTCAACGTCCTTCAACGTCCTTCAACGTCCTTCAACGTCCTTCAACGTCCTTCAATGTCCTCCAACGTCATCCAATGTCCAGCAACGTCCTCCAACGATCTTTAACTATCTTCAACGTTCTCCAACGTGTGGTAACATTCTCCAGTGTCACTCCTTATTCACCAATATTTATTAATCATGCGACAGCTCATTCCAATTGTCCCCCAATATTCTTCAGTATCTTCTACCATTTAAAAACATTTAAACTCATATGGGAGGTCACTTTCGTTATCATTTCCATCTAGAGTAAGCAACGAAAGCACACCAAGTGCCTCGGAAATGGTTTAAATATAGCGTCCTGCATGATCTGGTTTAAGGTTTCAAGAAGATCATCGCGAACAAAGGTTACGAGGGTGAGATCCAGCTGCTATCGGACCCTTGTCATCCGGCAACCAGCACGAGGTGCACGAAAAATTGCAGCAGGTGTTTGCAACACATGCACAACAGTATCCCCGACAAAGAAATATCGAGTAAGTGACCTCGATTCTCATTGTCCGTTTGTTCAAGGTGTTTTGCTGATTCGAGTTTTTTGTTTCAGGATGGATGACAGTCCGAGGTAAATTCTTCATGGTGAACGGTGCTAATCTGGCCTGTGCCTGCTCCAGGAGTCCGATGGGATTCAGTCCTCACTGTCACGTCGGGGACGGCTGTGTCGATGTGATTCTAGTCCGTCACACTTCTCTTCTGAACAACATCAGAATGTTGCTGAGGATGTCCAGTAAACAGAAGACTCTGGTACGTGAAATTAAACTTCCATAAATTCGATTCTGTCTAAATCCAATTTATACCGCAGCGATATCTAATCAAGGCACCTGATTCCGGATTTAATGCGGTTACTTAATTAACAAAATTTCGATTCTTTCCGAGGATTATTGTAAATCTAATTCATAGCTACTCGAAGTCAAGTCTAACAGCGCTCTTATCTCGGATCTAACCCAAATCTTTGACATACTTCAAACTCCTGACTTTATCTGAATCTAATCGATAATGTCCACTTCTAAGCCCGGCTTAAATGGTAGTAGTGACACTCGATTGTGTACTTTAAAGGCGATTGATCTTGTTTGTCTTTCAAAGTACGATCTTCCGTTCGTCGAGGTGTACAGGGCCAGAGAGTTCACGTTTCGAGCGTTGCCAACGATGCACATGCAGTCCGAGAACCAGACGAGCACACGTTACATGAACTCGAGCTTGAGCGTGTGGAACTGCGACGGCGAGGTGATCGATAACTCGAACGTGAAGATCAGGTAAACACACGCTTCGAGGATATTTGCAGCACACTTCACGATCACCTCAGTTTTTTGGTTATCGAAACACACATTCACGTCAAAAGAAAAACTCTCTTCATTCTTTATCACTCGTAATTATCACATGTAATCGAAGTTGGTCTCGTCCCGTTGAATGTTTCCAACCCCATATAATCATTTCGATAGTTTTTTCAGTTAGCGTTTAACACTTCATCCGGATCATCTTGCGTGTAACATCATTTTCTAACTCCAGATAGGACCGAATGGTAGAGAAAACAGTGTTAATTATTCTTTGGAATCTCAATTTCGCATGCTTTCTAAAAAAGGAAAACGAAACAAGCGATTCACGCTTGTTCTTCGCAGCTAACAGCACGTTCCACTTTTTCTTGAGACTCGTTTTCATTTCTAATCAATAGCTGCTCTGTCTTACAGGGTTAGTGTTACATCGATCGCAATGGTGTGTTCACAGGGTACACTGCCAACTAGTGAACGTGTTCACGAGACGAGCTCAGGAACCAGTTCACGAGCGGACCTGTTTCTGTTAATGGCGTTTACCGACCGATCGTCGGTTTTCGCTTGAAACAGGAAAAAAGAGAGATCGCCCGCGTCACTGCGGTGCACACGATGACAGTGAAATCGTATAGTTCCTTCGACTTGCCCTAATTATTGCAGAGCACAACCGCGGAACCGTGGCGGCAGTAACAGAGTTGAATCGTTCCGCGCGGTTGCCGTATCTTACGATTACGAGCCACTCGGAGAACTCGAAGACTCTTCGAAATTCTCATAAGATTCGGAGTTTCGAGACTTTTCAACTGTTTTAAGGTTGGCAGTTGAAGCTCAAACGTCTCTCCGGAGTTGGGAAACTGAACGTTTGAGGATTTGGCAGTCCTCAAATCGAGAAATCGGTAGGGATTTGGATGTCCTCGAAATTGGGACATTGATGGGGTTTTTGGTGTCCTTAAAAATGGGGAATTGGCGGGGATATGGAAGTCCCTCAAAATTGTGAAATTACTAAGGATTTGCAAAATTATTAGAAGTGGGAAATTGGTGAGGATTTGGTATCCTTAAAATTTGGAAATTGGTAGAGATTTGAAAGTCCCTCAAAATTGAGAAATTTGTAAGGATTTTGAAATGATCAAAAGTAGGAAATTGACGGGGATTTGGAATCCTGAAAATTGGAAAATTGGCGGGGATTCGGAGTTTTAGACATCCGCAAAACTATGGTTTTTTTAGGCCTCTAAGCTTGGGAAAATTTTCAATTCAGACATCTCTAAAATTAGTACTTCGATGATTCGGTATTCTCGTGAATTGGAAACTTGGATATTCACCTGGAATTATAGTAATTATCAAAGGGGACATTGCTCGCCGTTCGAGCCCAAAATCGTGGCCGTGGTGACCGATGACTGGTCATTCCAGTGGAAGCAACAGGACTCGTGAAATTGCCTGGGACTAAACAATTTACACGTGAACAAAGTCTGCGGCCTGGTGGTCCTATATTCATCCGAGATGGGAGTCCTGGAACGGGAAGATCCCTTGGGACGCAAGATTTCCTTTGCGTTTGCACGAGAGATACTCTGCCGACATTTTCTTTCTTTCCGTTCACATTATTAGATTTAAGCCTAACAAGAATTACGACTATATCGCGAACATTCCATTACGGATGTTTCTAGTCGCCAGCTCAGTTAACAAGACCGTGTACAGCGAGTCGTAGAACTGTTCGTACCTTCCGTGATTGTTAACATTGAAACGATCACCAGTTTTTTTCGAACATAACGAAATTTTACGATTAACACGATTTACGTCGAAGAATAAAATACTCCGCGCAACGAGAATACAAAATATATAATTAATCTGTATCGGTTGTCGAAGAATCGACGATAAAAGTCGAAATATTTACGCGTGACTCGTTGTACTTACGGAATTTTGTATCGAACGCGACCGGCTATTTTTCGGTCACTTTATTTCTTGCTGCACACACTGGTTGCGCGTTTTTGTACTTACGAAAGAAAGTAACTCACGATGCGGTTGCTGTCGATTCGGTGCACGGAGAGACACACACTCCCTGTTATGATATTTCGGTGGATATTAACTTGGGGATCGGTTTAAGTTTCACTTTACAGAGCGTAATAGTCTGATTAACCGTAGTTTTTTTTTTTTTTTTCAAACGTTCGATTGTGTATTGTTTCGCCTTGTTTTCCGGACGACGACGCGAAAGTGTGCGTAAAACGGTTCGAGGAATGCAAGACGGATGAGAGTGGTTTGCGAGGGAAAAGAAAAATTTGTAAGGAGAGTCTTGGCGAATTGTTCCAGACTATCTTCGGGTGTGTTGGGATGGATTGTTAGTTTTTGGATGCGTTTGACTGTCCGAAACAGTTTCGAAATAAGCTGTTAGGTGAATTATAGCTCGTTAAGTGCGGAGTAGTTCGTTAAGCTTTAAGAAACTGGAGGAACAATCGATTGAACATTCTAATCTGTTTGACAAGTTGTGCAAACATATCTCGACGACCTTTTAATAGGTACGGAAAGCTTCGAACAAATCTCAACAAGCCTCGACAGCGCGGCCTCCAAAAGTTTCTAAAGCTATCGAACCGTTATCTAAGCGATTGGCACGGCTCGATAATGGTTCCAAACACATTCAAAGATTACTCGGATTGGGGGGTGAATCAGAAAGTTTTCATGTCTTCGATACAGCATTTTGGAATAGTGTTCTTTTACACCACGCTCAAGATAGGGTCGCAATCAACGTGCAAAGAGAGTGACACGTATTATCGCAAAACAAGCTCGATTATAAACAACGTGTTTATTATGGTAAATGTACACCGTACGAGAAATTATTACGGTTAACAGTTAAGCGTATGAACAAAGTATGTACTTTGGTTAGGGAAGGATCAAGCGGCATTTACTTTACCAGAAGTATTCCGATATACATATTTATTTACCATTTACGGCGTTTAGGGTGTCACAGTAAGAAAATATTCGTTCAACACGATCGATCGATCGATTTGTCCGCGTGTCCAGATCATTCGTCTACGATAGAAGGGTCCTAATCAGGAAGCCAATTAGCCATGTCTGTTTTTTTCTTCTTTTATTCAATCGTTTGTTCGTTCAATGAACAATTTACATGGACATGTAAGATTTAAAAGAATTCTAGGATTTTACTAAATCTCTAGTCCTGTTCGATTTTTTTTTAGAACAACGTAGAACGACTTCCGTCCTTGGTTTTCGGTTACTCCGTCTATTCTCGTAGACCGGAAGTTCCCTTCGTCGCCCTGTTAAGATCGGTGCTTGCTGAAAAGAGAAGCAAAGTGGATCCGTCGAAGCCTGTAAAATTGCATTTTTCTTGGGTATATAAAATCATTCAGAATTCTCGTTTTATTGCTGAACATAATAATCTTGACACACGAGGATGATATTAATTATTATTCGAAATTAACTCGTAGGATTTATGTTACCTAAGGGGGGATCTAGAAACGTTTCGAACGAAGTGTTTTAGTGATTAAATTAGATTTTCGAAACTTTGTCCAAACGCATTTGTTTTTTACCTGTATGGTAGTCTTGGCTCGTTCAGTAATTAAGAATTTTATTTTCTTTAACCGTTTGCCGTCCTGCAGACGATTCTTCCGGCTAGTGCCGTTAACGTACTTACGTTTCTTTTGGAACATAAAGAATTTTTCGTGTATTAAACCTATTTAAAATATTCCTCCGTTGCTTTTATTCGATGCGGCAGGAACAGTGATATTTGTTAGCCGAACGTTGACCGGCAATCGGTCGTAAATTATAATTTTAATTAGTCCTTTCGTCGGTACAAGTGTAAGATATATAATTGAAAACGAGACAGATGGAGGATCAGAATGGGTTAACGATCGACAGACTCGATGAAATTTAGTGGTTAGGTAGAGATTATTTTGTAGGGTCGTGTATCCGCAGGTTATGTACCAAGTATACACGCATACGTATAAATATGTATATATAATACACACACGCATATACAGGGTCTCACCCGATTTTGACATCTTACTTTTCTTCCTATTGTTACTCGTTGCAAAAAACGTTTCAGTGGAGGCTTGAATGGTATCGAGTGGAGCATATTCTGACGTTATTAGTTTTTTCGTGAGTGGATGCGTAAAGGTCATATAAACAGTAAGGGTATGTTAGAATTATTTAAATTGAAATATCTCCTGAACTACTAACTTTTCGAAATACATAGGTTAGTACTTTTTTATAACGAATGTCCAGCTGCATCGATTGATGTATTAAAAAATATCTCATTCCATTTAAAAAAACAAAGTTGACCTTTATATGACCTTTACGCGTCTACTTACTAAAAAACTAATAACATCAGAATATGCTCCACTCGATACCATTCAAGCCTTCGCTGAAACATTTTTTGCTACCAGTAACAATAGCGAGAAAATCAAGATGTCAAAATCGGGTGTGACACCCTGTACACACACACACACACACATATATATCTATATTTTATTTACGGACATATTTCTAGAGTGAGAGCGCGCGGGATCGTCGCGACGACGTCACTTCCGGCACGTGGCCGACGACGCGACTCGCGTATATCATTGTACGTACTTGGAATTATTTTCGCAAACGGTGCACCGAATGTCAACGTGGCTGCGCATGGAGAATAAAATTGTACTTCACTTTTTCAGCCGGCATTTCCGCTTACGTAACCACCCTTGAGCTGGAAATCGAACGACGATTCCAAGCGTCCTGTTCTCCATCCTCTTGAACGATATAAGATTAGACGAGAAAGGAAAACAAAGTTTCCTGAAAGTGAATCTCTGTGTTCCACCCATAATCCCGTCCCTTGCAAAGAGAGAAATAAAATAATAAAACACCCAGGAAATGAAATCGAGTGCATTTGTAATTAGAATCGGTGAAGTGAGAAGGGAAGGGGATAAATACACAGGTACAATATGGTTGCAGGGTGAAGAATGGTCTAGTGTTTTCGGTTTTATATATTTAAAATTTTTAATAATCAATATTGTC